GTTCCCATAGCCCTCATAGAAGGGAAGACCAAGAAACTATCTACTCCCCGAGCTGCTGACATCAGCTTTCCTCCTGGACGACCCACCGCAGATACCATTGAATCAGTGTGTCACAACCAGAGGCTTCGCCCCGCCTACAGCATCAAGTGCCTCCCACGTTCAGGCTATGAAATGGTGGCTCTTCAGGCGAAGACCGTTAATCTTATAGAGAAGGGATTCAAAAGTTGCTGCAAAAATAAGAAGACTAAACTCAACTGTGCTGACCAGAAGGTAAAAGAACAGCAGCTAAAAATACACATTTTCGCTTAACTGAGTAGTTTCCATGTCGTGATACTTCATTCTTGCTCTTCATTTCAGTGGCATGAGGAACTGAACAAGTTCTGCTTGCGTGAGAACGGAGGACGGGTGAATTACCCCTGCTGTCTGAACCAAAGTGATAAATACAGCTGTTTCCAGCAGATGTCTCCAGACCCGTATTATAATGTGACTTCTGCTCACGAGGAAGTGTCGCTGAACAAGATATGTGACACTCACAAAACCATCAAGAAGAAGTAAGACACTATTTATTGCATTTTTTCTTTGATCTGATCTTCCTATAATTTCTTTTTGTTTCTTTTGATGTTTTTTCCATTTTTTCTATTCATTTTGCTCTGTGAAATGTCAACACATTTGTTTAAGTATATAATCTGTGGGCAGTCTAACATGAGATGCATTTGCATCAATGTGACTGTGTTTTAGATTCCCTGTTGGGTTTCCTCTTAAGGACTTTGTGACACAATGCTGCCCCCTGCAGGAAGAAGAGAAGACCGCTTGCTCTGCGCGACTGGTAAGTCCCATTAAAAGCCATTAAAAGGGGAAGTTTGTCTGCAAAAATAAGACAAATTGCAAAAAAAAAAGTTTGGCCTAGCAACATTTAAAATTTGAACAGAGAGTTCTGATTTCCCGCTGCTGTTCTGCCTTTGATCTCTCCATGACATCAGCTTGAAGAAATGTCACAGAAGCTGTGCGCATCAAAGAGGGCTGTTCCCAATACTGTTCGCCGCTGCTGCAAATCGTCCTCACAAGAGACTCCACAGTGCATCTCCAAAATTATCATGAGTGCCATCACCAAAGCAATCAACTTCTCAAGCCAGAAGAAGAGGAAAAGGTGCCCTATCTCCTAAGCTTGTATGGCCTTTCGCTGCTGACCCCACTGTCGCTGGGCTGTTCGGGATATTGGTGAGATAGCAGCAGACGTGGCATTCGGTCACTGAACAGAAACGATTCATGCAACACTTAAATGTTTGTAAGACGAAATGAAATGTAAAATGTTGACCGAGTTTTCTAGCTTCAACTACTGCCGTCGTTCTGAGACCAAATGAGCATTTCTACCATTTATACTACACATACTTAGCATACTGTTACATGCATAGTTGCTAAAACAGACTATTGTCTAGGACACTGTACCACTATTTTTATAGGCTGCTCTTTGCATACTTGATTATTAATTTCTTAATTCTTTTGGAAATTCAAGATCTTTTTTTTTCTCTTTTATATGGTTTCTAGTTAAGATCTTCTCTGAAAAAGTGATAATAAACACATTTTTAAAATCTTCCTTTCTGTCTGGTTTACTGTGTGACACCTTGGATACAAGTCCATGCTGCTTTAACCACAGACTTTATTTATCCCACACTGTGAAAATTCCCTTGTTACAGCAGCACAAGGTAGAAGTTGAAAGGATAAATTAGGGATGTATTGGAAAACAATAAAAAATAGAAAAAAGAAAAAAGGTTTACAACAACAACAACAAAAAACCGCCTGGCCAGAGGATGAAGCCTGCCCTGCCTTCTCCTTCTAAATGAAGGTAAAAAAAAACAAAAACCTTCTGTCCTGTGAATAGAGGTCTTGTTCCCTAGAATAGACCCCTCCCCTCTGGAACAATTATTTTTCACAGGACGGAAGTGGGTGCTCTGGTTTCATTTGCAGTTAATCTTCTGGACAGGTTGCCAGTCCATCACAGGGTTCATGCAGAAAGGCCCCAGCTGACCAAGAGGCTCGTAACTGCTTGAAAAAAGTTTTATCTCAACAGCTCAAAAAGGTGCTCAGTAGTTTGTATGGCTGGGCACTGTCATGCACCAAGAGGATCCCAGGACTCCCTGCACCAACTGTAGGGTCTGACAGTTGGTCCAAGGATTTCATCCTGATATATTATGGCAGAAAAGGTGCTGCTGTCCCCCAGCCTGAGGAGTTAAATGCCAACTGGACTCCACAGTACCTGGCAGTGAGTTCAGGGACCAGTAAAGGACATCACCTCATGTTATCAGCAATTACAGCCCAAAAAAAAAAACACCTAGAAAAAAAAAAGTCCAAAAAGATGATGAGGGACAAATGTTTTTACAGGCCTCCACCTGTAAAAACCATTCTTGTTTTGGGGGTTGTCTCACTGTTGTCTCTCTTGTGCACCTGGTGTTAATTTAATTGACACCAGAGCATCTAAAACTTTAACTCACTTGATGATGCTACTTTCTGAATAACAGAGTCAACTACAAATGACTTCTTTCAGCTTGGCCAAAATGTGGACATCTCCCTCTCCTTCTCCCCAGAGTTATCTGGGAAGTGGTCTGACCTCAGACCACTTCCAGGGTAACCACAGGAGCTCAGTGACCCTGAGACAAAGTGTATACACAGAAGAGGAACAATTTAATACCTTTAAACTCCGTCGAAGGTATACTTCAGTTCCAGTGGGTAGGTTAGGTTCAAAGTGTACATAAGTCCAAACAACATAGCAGCTGCTAAGGCATAGTTATCCAAGTCCTGCAAGACTCTCTGGCCTTCAAAGACTATCCGGATGTCCTCGGGGCTGCCACTGGCATCTCTTGACTTTATGATGTATTCACATGGTTATTTCCTCAATACAGTGGCTTGCAAAAGTATTCGGCCCCTTGAACTTTTCCACATTTTGTCACATTACAGCCACAAACATGAATCAATTTTATTGTAATTCCACGTGAAAGATCAATACAAAGTGGTGTACACGTAAGAAGTGGAACGAAAATCATACATGATTCCAAACATTTTTTACAAATAAATAACTGCAAAGTGGGGTGTGCGTGATTATTCAGCCCCTGAGTCAATACTTTGTAGAACCACCTTTTGCTGCAATTACAGCTGCCAGTCTTTTAGGGTTTGTCTCTACCAGCTTTGCACATCTAGAGACTGAAATTCTTGCCCATTCTTCTTTGCAAAACAGCTCCAGCTCAGTCAGATTAGATGGACGGCGTTTGTGAACAGCAGTTTTCAGATCTTGCCACAGATTCTCGATTGGATTTAGATCTGGACTTTGACTGGGCCATTCTAACACATGGATATGTTTTGTTTTAAACCATTCCATTGTTGCCCAGGCTTTATGTGTTGGTTTTCCAAGCTAAAACTCAGTGGAGATTTCAGCTGTGTGCCGGTGATTCGACATCAGTCGCTGATAAAGTGGGTTCATCTACAAAGTGCTCTGTAGGGAAACAAGCTCCAGTAGCTCTGCACTCAGGAAACAAACTATATTTACTTATCTTGTGCAGAATAATGCGCAGGCATTGCGTTTTATCGAGCACTGGCTGTCCAGTTAAACTGTGACTATCACCAGGTAACGTGGGCATGTTTCTTGAATTAGCAGCAGGTGTTAAACAGCTGACAGGTGAGCAGGATGTATGCAGGTAACTCGAGGGCCGTTGAGCTGATCGCTAGTGTCCTGAGGAAAATGTCAGCTCGTTATTTAACACATAGACACAGCCACAATCAGCTAAGCTTTGGATGATTAAAAAGTTTTTTTTAACCTAAGAACAAGAAATGGCAGATTCCCAAAAACTGCTGTAAAAAAACTATGCAATAATGTTTTTTTCCACTTTAAATCACTCAGTCTTTTAAAAATACTTCAGCCTGAACCGTGTATATTAAATATTAATTACAGTTTGGGGATTTTAACCCTTTAAAGGCCAGTATGTTTACATAACTCCATTGATTTTTACTGAATCCCCCCAGCCAAACAAAAACAATTTCCATAAAAAACATTTCAAGATGCATTTGATCATTGTTTTTATTAGGCCCAGAGATGGGCCAATGATATAGCAGCGGCATTCATTTTCATGCATTTCTATTTTTTCTGCAGTGTCAGATTTTTGTTTTACAAAAAACGATACTCCAGGTCCTAACAACAAAAAATGCCACCTTCCCAAAAACTATTATATTGTATTTTTTCCCCCCCACTGACACAGTCTTTTAAAACTTCAGCCTGAATTATAAGTTTAAAATATTAATTACAGATTTTGGATTTTAACCCTTTATAGAAGAATTTTAAATTTGAAAGAAATTCTCTGGCAAATATGGGATATATTCATTTAGCACAGTCAAAATAGCATGAAATGATCTTCCAATGTTGTCCCGATTCATTGTTTCATTCATTTTTCTTCTTATCAACAGAAAATTTGCAGACATTGAAGCATCAAAACACCAGCTTTGGCATCCACTCTTTATTTTAAGGATGAGGACAAAGGCAAAGGCATGTCCTCTCTGTCATCACACAAGCCAGATTCACCTGACCAGTCTGGTAATCCATCTAAAAGTGGTGGTCCACAGGATGCCGATAAAAGCAGCCTTCGAACAGGTACAGATGGCACCTCAAAGTCTATCAGTGTCACCACCTGACTTACATGAAAGTCAAGTAAATACAAAAAGGAAGCAGACTGAATCAGGGCATCTTTGGAAACATCACTCCAAATCGCAGTCCTCCACCTGCAGAGCTACGGCGAACAAACAGAGCAAGAGGAGGCAGGAAAAGGGAAGCAGAGGTCATAAACCGGTGGAAATGAAACCTATTAGCTCCCCAAGAAGTTTTGACTTGTACCACGGGGCTGAATTGTTTTATTTTTACAACAAGAGTCAGCCGACAACTTCTTTTTTGAGTAGTGTATATATTCAATTGCCGGCGCCTTTCTGTCGCACTACAGCAAACTGAAACCGTCCCACGTCCCTCCACTGGAGGCGCTGTGGTGCTGCAGCAGCAGCAACACGAGCATCAAAATTCAAGTGTCGGCTCTGTCTATGATGTTAACAGTCAGATCGTAATGGCGACTGCTGGAACAGCAGACATGGGATCAGCAGCCCCGACAGGTATCTAGCTATCAAATCTCCTTCCTTTCTCGTCTCAAAACTAGCGTAAAAAGCGATGTCTACAGTGTTTTAAAGCATTGAAAGTGATGCAACGCTGGAGCTCTGGCTGTAATTGAGCCTTCGTTAGCCGTTAGCTAATTAGCATCGAGATTTTCCACCAAAGAAATGAACCAATCTGTGGTTCGCTTATTTAGCTGGCTCTTTAATAAATCCTGGTCTTCTCGTGTTACAACACAAGAAGATTTTGTGTGCAGGCCACTCTTAAATATGAGGAACAATCTATTGATTTTATAGCGTGCTATAAAGTAATTCCCGACACCACGTTGACCAAACTGTTTTGTTATCAAACCGGCTGTCCTGTTGACGCTTTATGGTGTTTACACGCAAACGAAGCAGGTGAAGGCGAGTTGAGATTTTATAAATAAAGATCGCCGTTGCTTGGTAAATGAATGGGACGTGTGTAATACTGCTGGTGTTAACCCCCCCCTCAAGCATCTATGGGAAGTTAACGGTAACTGCTCTCACTCACGTCTTCCTCGCCTGTTACATCCCGTTTCCTCTTCCTCTGAACGTTTTGTGATGTACATGGATAAAAAAAAATCCGCTTTCACTTACCTAAGGGCTTCATTAAACACCTCCCAACTGTTACTGTACAAATATTTTCAGTTTAGGTGGTGTATTGTCTTTTTCTGCGTTCCTTCGTCACGCTTATCTAAGTCAATAAAGCAGCCTTAATTTATTTAAGCACCTTTGTTTAGGATCACCGATATCAGACCTGTGCACTGCACATGAACTGGTTCCACTTGCTTCACAGATATAGATTGATCATGTGCTTTCAGAGACTTCTTTTTCCCCAAGATAAAGCACGCAATGGGGAAGATGCATCTCTCTAATCCAGTTAGTTGTGCATCACTCATTAGCTTCCCTGTATATGTTTGAGTTGCTCTGCTCCTGGTAACCACCCAGTCTGAATCAGTGAATAAAAATAGTTGCTTTTTAAAGCACCCCTGTGGCTCCCAGATGGCTGAAATCCAAAGACAGCACAAGCACAAGATGTAGCATTCACGCTCACAGACACTTCAGTGACAGTAACTCACTGTGGTTTCCCTAATAGCTTTTATCAGCGTCGTTTCCAAATCAGGTCAAGAAACAGTATATTTGTGGATTCTTCAGAAATGACCTTAAAGAGTGTGTCCATGGGTCATGGTATTGCCGTGCATGCTGTGGGCTGTGCGTAAACAAGGCTGGCAGGGACTTGTTTGGTACACAGAGAGGAACAGATGGTTTGCCTATTGTAGTGAGGCCTGCCGCTGATGAGCTAAAGTCATTGTTAGGGAACTGACTTAGTCTCATTACTATCCATAGTCTGCTGCACAATATATGCCATTAACTGGTTGTATATTGACCTTAATAAATACAGATGGTAGTAATAATAACAATCATAGCTGAAACCGGGCCATCTGGGGTTACTACACATGCAAGTACGCATGATCCAAATTTAGTAACAGTCTGTGTTATCTACCTTAAACAAAATAGTCCATTTCTAAGTTATTTTTGGCCTTTTTGGTAAACAATATTCTATTTTACATGCTGAGCACATTTAATCATGTTTGTTTTGTAAACGGTCCTGATGGTTTTCCTTTTACAATAAAAGAAAAGTAGCAGTTGCTTAACTGACTTAATTATTTAGGCCATGCTTCCTTTACTTCTGTGCACACCTACTTTAAATGAGTTCAGTGTGGCGCATGTACTCGGTTAAGCCAGTTAGCCTGACCTTGTCCTGCTCCGCAGATATCAGGACTCAGTTCTGGAGGAGAGCGTTGCAGCGAGGTATTCGCATGGGTGTGCTGTGTTTGTGACTGTGAGCAGCAACTGCATGAGTAGTGATGATATAGTGTGTTGTTTTACATAATGAGAGGGAATGTGGGCAGAGCGATGCTCATTGTTTCCCAGCAGATTGCAGTGTGTCCCTGCTAACTCAGGAGAGATGCATGGCATTCAGTGAGTCTGTGTAATTATACATAGTCCTGCATTTCTTATGTTGAAAATGTTCATTTTCTGTGCATTGCCAGGTTTAGATTTGATGGGGGCAGAAAGACAAATTTTCAGACTCACTTGTTACTACAGATGTAAAAACTTTGTAGCCTTCAGTCTTTTTTTGTGTGTATATTGACCTATGGTACTGCAGTGGAGGAGATGTTGCCATTGGTTACAGGCTAGAGGTGATTGCAGAGTGGGCGATGTAGTAAGTGTATACACCAAGTTTATATAAGGACAGGACACAGGAACTCATTCGCTGTATTTATTTTGTTGCACTTGAGTGCCTTTCTTACCAAACATCTGTATGCTGGGATTTAATGACTTATCTTTGTTTAGCAATTAAGCAAAGGTTTTGGCTTGGTGTTTGCATTATTATTTTACAGGCACACAAACAGAAGCTGTTGTGTTTGAGGTTTCATGCAGGCATGAAAACCCTCCAGTGTTCCTTCATATCTCCATGCTGCATTAGCTTGTCACATGGTGAAATAAACATTGAATTACACAGAATTGAACAGAATATCAGTCTCATAGATCTCTAGTCGGATAACAGAGTTTACTAAATGGCCTAATTTAAAGGGGACCTGTTACCTCATTTCCTGCTTCATATTTCATTCTTGGGCTACAAGAGCAGCTTTGTGTGTTTCACTGTTCAAAAAAAAATCCCTATTTGTATTTATCTTATACCAGGCCTTTGTGCTGCCCCTCAGTTCATCACCGTTCAAAACAAAGCATTTAAAGAGTTGTTAGGTTGCCTTTAGGAAACATCTGAGCATTCGTGAGCATGCTGGAGTGGATTTCAGTTATAAAATCAAAGTTAGTCTGAGGCTTAAAGTAGGCTGGGACAGCAACAGCTAGAAATTGCACCATTTTTTGAAAGGAGGTGGTGATGTTGACACACATCCTGGGGGAACAGATGAATGTGGAGCAGCTAGCTCATGGGAGAAGTAGTTCCAGTTCACATACTGGGTGCAGCCGGTAGTAACTGTGGCCACATTTAGGTTTGGGTTCATCATCGGTCTTATAGTCATCCGTCAGTGCTGGAAATAGCCTAATTAACCAGCACAGGGATTCATAAACAGTCCCCAACAAATTCGTCATTGGTCAAAGCCTTTCCAACTCAAACTCTTCAAATTTATTTCAAGCCTTGACTTTGAGTACTGACTGCATGGGTTGGGTTTCAGAGTCTCAACAAAGGAACTATACAGAGTGCTTACTCTATGTAGGATTTTCCTTGCAGGTTTTCGAGGACTTATCTTCCTCTCAATTTAACTTTTTCTGTTTTCTTTTTAGGGACCAGCAGCATTCGAAAAATGGCCCCCGCCGAGGTAACTATGGCAGATACTGTAAATGTAACTACTCTCAGCTCTAAGGGGAAAAGGAGAGCAGAGCAGGCTTATAGGGCTGAACTTTTTTTCATCCAGACATTGGCAGTTTGAGGCATCGGTCACTAAAAGTTTATTATTATGGAAGTGAGAGAGTGGCTCTTGTAACGCAGGAGAGCCACATTGTTGTTCCTCAAAGCTCTACATAGATTAATATTTAAAAGTTTTCTTACTTTGAAATATGAATAGTTACTCATAATAATACTGTAGGTTCAGAAACAATTATGACATTTTTGTAGCTCCAATATCAATAAAAGGAGGAAGTGCAGAGGTAGTTTTTTGGTCAGGAATAGTAACATCAGGCTGATTGCTGTTTGATTAGTTTCCTGCCTTACAATTTGACCTTCCTCTGCAAGTTCAGTTACTTGTGAGCCCAGTTGATCGCTTGGTTAAGGCTGTCATCCATCTGGCCTAAAGCTTGCATACTGCAACAGCTAGCTCATTGTTTTCTGCGTTTACCAGCACAAACACACATCAAACTGTGTTTGATTTTCCTTTGACAGCTTTCTGCCTCTCTCCTCAGATGCCCGGCTCTTCAGGCATGAGTATGAAGAAGACCATTGGACACCGGGGCGTTGAGACTACCACAGGAGAAACTACTTACAAAAAAGTAAGGGCAGGGGTCGGGGTCAGTGACAACAGTGATTTGTTGACACCCGCAGCACTGAGCCGGAGTGATCCAAGGTGTTTACAGTTCAGTGGGTTGGCCTGCATGTTTTGGTGTCTGTATTCTAAAATTAGTTTGGAAGTTCCTCTTGCTGGAAACCCAAGAATAGTGAGTGAAACAGCAGAAGTGTTCCAGTGCTTACTCTCTTTTCCTCGCTGACCTCCCTAGACTACGTCATCTGCCCTAAAGGGAGCAATCCAATTGGGCATCGCTCACACAGTTGGCAGCTTAAGTCAAAAGGCGGAGAGGGATGTTCTCATGCAGGACTTTGTAGTTGTTGAAAGCATCTTCTTCCCGAGGTTTGTGATACGAGTTGTTTGAATGCATGAGGTGAACTGTTATTTTTCCATTTTGCATAGTTTAATGGTTTATCTGTTTCTTGCTCTTTCCAGCGAAGGCAGTAACCTGACCCCTGCTCATCACTACAGTGACTTTCGCTTTAAGACCTATGCTCCTATCGCCTTTCGTTACTTCAGGGAACTGTTTGGCATTCGGCCAGATGACTACCTGGTCAGTATTAACCCCAAGGCTTATTCTGCCATGTTCACCACAGCTGTGTGTGAATCTCTACATGCTGCATATATATTTAGTGGTTTAAGCAAACATGATCCCCTTTTGGAGAAATAATGAACAATAGCTGAAGGTTTTCTCCTTTTTTTTCTCCTCAAAAATGATGATGCTTTTGTCTGCATCATCACCACATTTGCTGACACAGTGGGCATGGAGCTGCGCCATCTCGGACAGAATGATAAGCTGTGGTCCAAGTGCTTTTTGGCTCCGTTTTATTTTCCTCCTGACTCTTTCTCTGCTGTCTGTTTTTACAGTCAGCACTAGAAATACTGATAATCATGTCTCTGTAGTTTAAATCGATCAATTGTGCAATCAGGAGCCAGTGACCCATATATCTTACTTCAGAAACACAAAATCTGTTTTGTTTTTTTGGATTTTATATTAATGCGGGTTCATCTGTCTCTTTCTGGAAGTATTCTCTGTGTAATGAGCCGCTGATCGAGCTGTCGAACCCCGGAGCCAGCGGTTCCCTCTTCTACGTCTCCAGTGATGATGAGTTTATCATCAAGACTGTCCAACACAAAGAGGCAGAGTTTCTCCAGAAACTGCTGCCTGGATACTTCATGGTGAGTGTGGATAGAGTGGGAGGTAGGAGTTTGTTTAGAATGAGTGACTATTACTGCAACAATTCTCAAGTAAGGGGAGGTTTTTCTTCTAATTTCAGTGTCTAATTTTTTTTTGTCTGTTCCCTCTCCCTTTCAGAATATAAACCAAAACAAGCGTACCCTGCTGCCTAAGTTTTATGGACTGTATTGCGTTCAGGCAGGCGGTAAGAATATCCGTATTGTTGTGATGAACAATCTCCTGCCCAGAATCATCCCCATGCACCTCAAGTATGACCTGAAAGGCTCCACCTATAAGAGACGGGCTTCCCCTAAGGAGAGAGAGAAGGCCGTCCCCACTCACAAAGACCTGGACTTCATCCAGGACATGCCTGATGGCCTGCTGCTGGAAGCAGAAAACTACAATGCTCTGTGCAAGACTATACAGAGGGACTGCCTGGTGAGTTACAGAGATGTGGCGGGTTTGTATAGATTGTTTATTGAAGTACTGAGCACTAAAGTGTATGGAGAATGGCTTGGCAAGCTCAAATAGTACACCACCACTTTATATTGTTGTTATCCTCTTGCATAAAAGATACAAAAAAAAATGAAATTTCTCTACATACAGCATAAATGTGAAGAAATATCAAAGACTTTTTAGATTCATTTAGTTATTTTAGGCTATTTTTCCATATAATGAAAAGTCCTTACATTGTAAATGGCTTGACAGATCGTACAACACATGTAATGTCGACATGTAGCGCACTGGCACTTCATTAAACTTTACATTTTACAGAGACTACTATAATTTCCAATTTCTCCAAAGTCGATTAGTGGTTGTTGATAGTTGGCATTGGTTGTTGTTTGCTGTCATGCTCCAGGGTCATCAACAGATGTGTGTAGTGTCGGAAAGATGACTCAAGCTTGCATGACACTGCAAACTAATACCTTATTTACTTTGAGGGATGGTATCTTTTGAAATGATGGGGGTAGACTGGTGCCAATCTGCACAGACTACCAGAATGTTCTGTATCATTTTTCCTTTTAATCAGCAGCTGCACATGCTTTATTGATTCGATCCATTTCCATTACCTCATTGTTCCGGGGTTTTCAGCCACCAGAGGTTCTGGCTTCCCACCAAAGAAAAATCATTAGGACTGTCATTTGTATTTTTGTTTGTTTGTTTGTTTGTTTTTTGCTTTTTTGATTTGGGTGTGTTATTTAGTTAAGTTTAAAATAGATTTTCTGATCAGATGACTTTTTTGTTGTGTCATGTAAAGCAGATTATTTGAGTTATATCTTTTCACCTAATGACTGTGACTAACATCTAAATATTTGAATGCAGTTTGAAAGTAAATCACAAAACCCAACTCAAGACTTTTAAGGATTCCAAAATAATTTTTAAATATTTTTTTTATGTAAGAAATTAGGGCTGAACGATATATCGCATTTGCGATAATATCGCGACATGATCAAGTGCAATTTTCTAACCGCAAAGGCTGCGATTATACTCTGGACATGTCCAAATTCATGGGCTGCATCCTCCTGAGGCCGCATTTGTAGACCGATTACGTCACAGCGACGCGCCGAAGGCTGTCCAAATTACTACCATATCCCAGAATTCATAGCGCGGCCCAGCCAAACTCCAGTTTCCAGCAATGGCGGCCGCTACTAAGTTTTTAAATTACTCATACTAATCTTTCTGGGTCACAAAATAAACTTTTAACATATTTTCAGGCGAGAAAGTAGTTGTGTAAACATCAAATATCTGCTCGGTTTATCAAGATATCCCATATTTGCAAAAGAGCTTCGACGTTTTCAGAGGCGTCTGCTACCCACCAGCTCGACAGCTAGCCGAGAGCTCGAGGGTTACTGATGCGGCCGAGAACGGCACAACTCCCGGCACATCATTTTCAGATCACCGCGGAGTTTCGCTGCTCGGGTTAAACGTAATATATAAGTCACTTAGACAACCTAAAAATGTTATTGTTGGGCTTTTTTCAGTGTTTTGTTTGTTCGTGAGTAAATCGGTTTGGCTGAGATTAAAGTTATTAGATTAGATTAAATAAAACTTTATTAATCCCCCGGGTGGGTTCCTCCTTGGTTTTCACACAGCTGACTAAACGTCAAACAGAAAACTTATTAAACAGAAGTATGAGACAGTCGAGAATTTACACCAGTGTCTGGTTATATTTTAGATAGCAAGAAGCAGACGGCCGAGTTTATTAAACTCCACCGAGACAGCGGTGACGCTAATCAGAAGGCTAGACCGTCCAATTTAACGCCTTTAAATTTTAAAGGCGTGTTTGTGTGTGTGTTTATACAATTGCTATTATGTTTGCACTTTATGTGTAATGTTACTGACTGCAGAGATCAGTAAGATGTGTGTATTTTTTATTTATTAGTTTTATTTATTTAATATTATTTTTTAATTGAATGACTGTCTAGTAGTTCACAGATGTCGAAAAACTGAGTGTGGTAAAGCCACTGATTTTTTTTTATGTATATTTCTGCAATCTGCACATTGTACTGACTTTCATTTTAATGTTTACACCAGGGTTCCTTGTCAGCACTTTATGCTCAGATGTTTGTAAGCTAAAAATAAACTATTGTGTATGTTCAAATATACTGTTGTGATTGAAGAAGTTAAATAAAAATGTCAGTCATCAATTCATGCATCACCTCATGTCATCATAACAGAGGTCTGTCTTCCAGGAAAGAACAGTTTAAAATCAATGTAATATAGTATTGGCCATACTATATGTATTGCTTGTCTTTGTTTAATAATACAGAAGACAAAGACCTTAAAAAATTATCGCATCGCAATATTGGGGCAAAAAATCGCAATTAGATTATTTTCCATAATCGTTCAGCCCTATAAGAAATTACCTCTTGTGGTCCATACTTTGGAAATAACTGTATTAGAGGGTTACCTAGGCAACTGGCGCCTTGAAAAATCTCACTTTGATCCCTGTGTAGATGGGATGTATTTCAACTTTGGGCTCAAACTTTGTTTCCAGGATCAAGATTAAATCAGAATCAGTGGTCACATTACAAATATTTTTGTTCTTAACTGTTGCTGGATTGAACACTTAGACCTGTTTTGTCATGTTTTAAAACCCTGCTGCTGTAGCGTAAGGAAACAGCAGCAGGGTTTTTAAATGAGCGTAATATATATGACAGCATGTCACATTTATTATTGTACACTCATATCATGTTTTATTGTAGTGTTGCCAAAGTCTTTGGCGCCTGTTGTGAAACAGTGTGTCTTTGCGTTGATTTACAGTTGGTTGTTCCAGTCGTTGCCAGACGATTCTCATTGCACTTGTTTCTTTGTTGCAGCTCCTGCAGAGTTTCAAGATCATGGATTACAGTCTGTTGATGGGCATCCACAACATGGACCAGGCCAGCAGAGAAAAGGAGCGTAGTGGAGGCAGTTTGGTCGACAATACGGGGTCTGAAGGAGCAGTGACCCCAGATCAGCGCCGACCACAAGCCCAGAAAAGTCTGTATTGCACTGCCATGGAGTCCATCCAGGGGGAGGCTCGAGGGAAGGGAGCTTTGGATTCAGAAGATCAGTGAGTGTGACCATCAGCACACCTGTATCAGCCTGTATTTGCTTGCTGGGGAAATTGTAGCTGTGAAATAATGGTGAATGAAGCAGTTGTTCTTTCTGTGACCTTGCAGCATGGGTGGTATTCCTGCTCGCAATAGCAAAGGAGAGAGGTTGCTGATCTACATCGGCATCATCGATATTCTCCAATCTTACAGGTATGTGTGTCAGAGCAGCAAAATCCACTCTTTATATATGCATTTATGCTAATTCATAAGCAAGATTCACGCCACTTATGTAAGTTGCACTAAATAGTTTCATTATGTGATATTATTTAGGTTTATTAAGAAGTTGGAGCACTCCTGGAAGGCGCTGGTCCATGATGGGGTAAGTCGTACACTATACATCACTATATGTATTAATAGACTTTGATTGTAATTGTAGCTTGCATATTAACTGATTAGCTTGGACTACAAAGAATTATGACTGCTTTTTTTCACTTTTAAGAGTTGGTGAATTAAAACAGAAATGTTGCTTTATAAGGTCTGTCAGGTTTTAATGATCCTTTTCCTGGTACTTAGGACACAGTTTCAGTTCACAGACCTGGCTTCTATGCAGAGCGCTTCCAACAATTCATGTGCAACACAGTGTTCAAGAAAATTCCACGTACGTCTGTCTTTGTAATTTTACTGCATTGAGAGCAGAGGTGTGAAAAGTCCCGATGATTGCACTGATCATTTCCTGTTGTCCTCTTCAGTTAAACCATCACCATCCAAGAAAAGCCGCGGTGGAGGTCAGGCAGGGCTTAGGAGGGCGCCCACTCTTGGAGCACCCACACCGCTCTCCCACGCGACAGGACAGTCATCTGTGGATTCCAGACTAGTTTACCACTCCCATTTTAAAAGCACAGAGTCCGAGGCGGACAGCGGTAAGAGCCAAGAAGATGAGGTCACATTAAGTAGATCTGTGGTTAAGTGGAGTGGTCACTGTTGTGGGAACAAGTTCAGGCCCCAAACTTTTGTCAAGCATTAAAAATGAAATTGGTGGGGGAAAAATTGAGATAAAGTTCAGCAGATAGCATCAGCAAACTACACATTGTAGTGACACTCAGTGACATTTGAAACACTAAAATGATGTTTCAAATGTCACTGAAATGTTTGGCGCTTTGTGTCATCTGATGTCACGCACACACACATGCAAAATCAGACCTGTTAGTTGTAGTTAATGTGAGCAGTGAGTGTCCATGTGTCTGTGCAGAATGTGATTTGTTAACTCTGACTGAGCCAATGTACAGTCACAGAGTCCTGCAGAAGCACACAGCTGTCGTGTGCTTACTTTCCACCTACTTTTCACCTGATTACAACTTCCCATCATAGAAGGCAAGAGAAAGGCAGTGCGCAGCATCAGCCTTGGAAAGACTAGTCAACTAGTTGCGCTCATCCCCATACTGTATCTGCAGCAGCTCCTTGCATTCCCCACAGGCTTAATTTTATTCTAAACTGCACTCAGCTTTGGATAAGATTGTTAAACTCTCTGTAATTGCCATATTAATATCTTTTTTTTCCTCAGGTGTGCAGTCAGGAAGGCCGGATCTGGTTCCTCGGACTCCTCCGCTGGTAGACAACCCTGCAGACTGCGAGGCCAATCTGTCCACCTCATCACAAGGCAGCACAGGAGTTGTCTCCACCTCTCCTCCCCTGCGGTAAAACCTCTCATCTTCCTTCTCGTGCTCACGCTGTGTTTTTTCATCTCTTCTGGTCTGACTCTGACTTTCCTCTGCAGCTCTGTAGGCGTGGAAGTGCACAAATCGGCAAACACGGACTGTGACCAGGCTGTTTCCCACAGGTACAGAGTACAGCCAATGATAAGTCTGTTTAAAAAAAATAAATAAAAATCAATAAATATGGGGTTTTTTTTTTAACTCCTTATGTTAGTCATTGTGTCTCATTGATTGCTTTTTCCGCTTTGCAGTTTGGGAGTAGAAGGGGCTGCAGATAATTCAGGCAACCTGTCTGGAAATGAAGATGTAGTTTCTCTGTCGGACATCGTCCCTGAGACCAACATCTGTTTCGTAAGTGTGTTCATTCGCTAGTGTTTATGCATGGTGTCAGAAATACAAAACAATCTTAATTACATTTTTTTCTTTGCAGTAAAAACACTCCCAGCAATGAGAGACTTCTGGAAACGGCGAGGTGGGTAGAAGAAAGGCAAAATGAACTGGAGTCAGTCATCCACCGCAGACCCTCCATCGCTCCTCTGCTGTTTTGTGACCTCTGCAGTTTATACAGTAGCCACCGAATAAAACAGCATGGTTTGTGACCGTGAGGAAAGCAGTGATTTGGACCATGTTGTGCGGTAGGCTCTAGACTTCCCCAGCCATCAGCACTGTCACTGTGTGTACATATTTGTCCACACCTATCCAAAACTGTCCGATACACACTCAGAAAAAGGCTTTCGGCCCTGAATTGAAGATTGCCCTTCATCTCCGTCTGCAGCGATGATATAATAAACAATATAATGAGTTGTATATTGTATTGAAAGAGAAATAACAAAAAAAGAGGTCATCTTCACTATCACCAGTTGATCATGGAAGGCAGTCAAATTATCCCTTGAAGAGCCAGTCATCCTGCCCACTATCCACAGCATGAGGAGATGTGGGTAGGAGTGGGCAGGGACGGTTCAGCAGGAACACACACACAAAAGCACATGAAGGGCATAGCCTACATAGGAGGAATGAATGTTACTGTGCGTTCGTGCACAGTCTAGGTGGGTTCACATTTCCGTGACTCCCACTCCGGCGTACCTGTTATTGCACATCCATCTCCCCTCAGCACTCTAAGCTATCCATGGCTCTCTCACCGCCATCGATAGAAATCCTTCAAATCAACACCTGCTGCTGTCGACTCTGTAGTCGTGTTTGCGTTTTTCTTTACTGATTGTACAGTATTCATTTAAAACAGCAGAGGGATGGGGTTTTAACCTGACCTATATGGTCATTTTTTTCTTATAAGTTATTTTTCTGGAAGCCTCAGTGGTGCCACATAGATCTTCCCACTGCTGAATGTACATTGTAGTGTTTTTCCGCATAAAAAAAACGTGTCTTATTTAGGGATGGGTATTGATAAGATTTTCACGATTCCGATTCCATTTTCGATTCTGTTTAACGATTCGATTCTTTATCGATTCTCTTATCAATTCTTTTTTTTAAAAAGGAGAACACTAAGGTCGATTGGCTTAGAACTTTGTTTTATATCTTCTCTTTGAACAAGATAGAAATGTAGGAGTAACATGGCCTTACAAACCCAACAGTGAGAGCTTAAGAGATCCAGCCTACGGCTCTTCAATGGGGTGTCACAGGGTCCCCAGGAAAAAAAATTGTAAATGTAAAATAATAAAATAAATATTCTTCTGTAGCAATAACAAAGTTTAACATAAATTATTTTGTAGCAATTACACAAGAATATCCAGTAATGTCCTGCCTACAGTTAAACACATTCACTAACCGAAAATCGGGGCATCTGCTGTGGCAAATGGGTGCAAACCTTTTACCACAAACTCAGTCACTGCTCGGTGACATTCGTCTATCCTGGCCTGAAAGGAGACGCTACCGGTAGACTGCAGCGAGAGCTGCCAGCATCTGAGCCAGACTCTGTCTCTCTCTCTCATCATGGTCACCTAAATGCACAGTAATGGCAGGTTTTGTAATAAGGCAGATCGCGCTAACATAATATGCACTGTTAGTTGATTATTTACCTGCCGCATTAACGGGAGAGGACGTGCAAACGTTACCGCTGCTGCTGGGTTGAGATTCACGAGTCCGGAGCGGAATTAAAAACACGACATTCATTTAAGGTCATCGTGTGTTTTGAGAGTAAATGCTTTTGCATATTCATAGTGTTTCCTCCCTTAAATGAAATATCTACTTTTCAAGTATTGCAAGTTGCCCTGTTGTCATCCGTTCTCGTAAAGTATAACCAAACTTTTGAGCGTTTGAGCCGCCGTGTTTCCTGCCAGGTAAATGACGCTCCGCAACGTGGTGACGTCATTCGGGGCGACTGGAATCGATATGGGAATCGTTTGCAAAAATGGCAAACAATTCCAAGGAATTGAAACAGTGGGAACCGGTTCTCAACAAGAACCGGGTTTCGATACCCATCCCTAGTCTTGTTACCATGGCAGATCACATTTATACTAACCTGAACATCTCCCCTCTCTGTTTATGGCCGTATGTGCTGAAGTATAAGTGTAACAGCATTGCTAACCAGTAGATGCTGTTGAATTTTTAATTTAAAGTTGCCGTGCATCATGTCTGTGCCTTTCCGTGTTTGTCCCCTTCCCTTACATGCGATGAAAACTGACACTTTTTACAGGTGAGTGCACTGGTTACACAGAAACCTGCCTTATCACTACAGCTGAAGTCCTCAAACTGCCATTTATACGTCTCGACCAACCAGTGAGTCAGTTTTCAGACTTTCAGTTTTAAAATCTATTACAATCTCCCTTTTTTTGATTACGTCAGGTATTCGGTCACTGCGGTTTTTCATCTCAGCCAATCACATCGCTCCCTGTCACAGCATACATTGAAGGATATACTGGCCTCCTCATTTCTGCTGGTTACAGAAATGACACTCGCTCACATCCACTCAGACCGATATTATTAACGATAAGTAATTTTTGTATCGTGTTTTTATGAAGTCTTGCTCAGCTTCAATGTGGCTGTGTTTATTCTACCTAAGTGATTTTTTTTTTCTAACCCCAAGAGCTATTTCTGATAGAGAAATCACTACAAAGTGACTGAAGGAAAACTTGAGACATCTCATTTAAAGAATCATTATTTATGTTTGTTGAGCACATGTGGTCTATGCAGCAGAGAGGCTTGGGAAGAAATATGAGCTGCGACTAGAGAAAGAAGGAAAATTACTCATGTTCATCAATGCACAGCTGACGATTTAAGTCTTTTTGTATTATAAGCAAGTCACCAAAGAGAAGAGCAGAGTAGACTGAAGATTTAGTGCAGTTAACGTGAGGCTGAGGGCGAGGGCTTTAGATTACTGCATGGACTGATGGTTTCTGTATGGTAATAACACTGGGCTGACCTGTGTTTAAGGATTTATTATTAAACTGGATGTATTTTGTTTTTCCTGACGTTGAAAGTTTTATCTGACGTAAAATCCAGAGCCTGATAACATTTCTTTGTCAATTATTTCTTCATTTCAAGATTTATCTCCACATTCCTGTGAAATTCATTCGTTTGTGGTAGCGTTTAGAACCTTTTAGTTGTACTTGAAATGAAATAGTTCTGGTAGTTTGCTGAAATGTAAACTAATCACAGTTATAATACAAAAATGAAATGCCACAGCCAACAGAGTAAACACTCTGACAGTGTCTTCAGATCAGAACGAGTCCGGGTTTGATTTTGCGAGAGCTGCATTTTGATGTTTTTATGTGATGACTTCTTTAAATTGGTTGCACTGGTTAATTGCTGGCTGCACACCAGTTTTGCTGGAGTAATGTACTACACCGTGACAAAAGGAAAAACCTCCTTTGGTGCTTCTAAGGCAGTACACTCAGTAGTAGACACTACAATGAATTTGAAGTAATGCAATATGAACCACAATCTGCCACTTTTCAGCTCTAAGAAGCATATTTATTGATACGACTGATTGCTGTAGGTTGAAGTGATGTGTTATGTACCTTTTTAGATGATTGTAAGTAAAGTGTATACTGACAGAAGGATGTCTGAAACTTTATAGCATGTGTTGCCTATAAAGGGAGACTGTTTGACAATTTCACTTTTTATATTTCATGTTTGGATTGTGATACGATAGATATATTCTCTCCATGATGATTTTCTCCATGCTTTTTTTTCTACATGAATGTGTTATACGGCTCTTGAGCCACCGTTGCTGGTTGTCCTATATGCTTCGATTACTATATTTTTACTGTGTACAAAATGTGTATATGTACATATGAGTCACGGAAATGCCTTCTCATGCGATATGTGCTGCCTGTCCCTCCGGCCATGTTTCAGTTATGTGGTGGTGGTGGTGGTGATGTTTTCATGTCTGATTTTAAATGAATAAACACATTTTGTAAGTCTTCATTTTGGTTGGTTGTTGTTGTTTTTAAATCTGAGCGTCGCAGTGAATGCTGCAGTTACTAAAATTGATTTCTTGTTTTGCACCCTATTATATCACTTCCTGCATGAAAATATGCACTTTGGTTTCATACTGAGCTGGAAAGGATTAACTTTACTTTTTCCACTTTTTGCCATGTTACAGTTTATCCCAAAATGGTTTGTGAAGTGAAGATTTAATCTGTTTTTGGGAATTCATATGACTGAAAGTCTTACTGGTGTCACACTGCCCACTGGTGGGGTGTGAGATGCTCCTTGACTGGATCCTGATGGTAGGTGAATCTCATTAAAATTAGCTTGCCATCCATCCTCAGGTGAAATAACCTGCTGTCAGAGCTCCAGGTGATGCTTACAGAGTAACGAGTGTTTGGAGGTAATGACAGCAACAGGAACTGGCTTTATCTTTCCAGTTTGCACCTGGATGATGTCGACTGGCTTAATGTTAAAGACCAAAAGTTCATTTATTGTTTTGCTCCAAATTGGGCCAAGAGTACATTGTTCCTGGTAATATCAGTGAGGGATCTAAACAGATGTTCCAGATGCTAGGAACTGGGACAAACTGTTCTTGAAACACTGAAATGAACAAACTTTGTTTGCACTGTCTGATCAGTTACCGCAGACAGGAACTCAGAGAATTGCAGCTGTTTTTAGATGTAAGGACTTTCACATGACCTGTGTTGGTCTTTTTTAGGAAGACCAAAACTTTCCCTTAGAGACCTGCACAAGTGGAAGATGAAATAAGTCACAAGTGTGTGTGTGTAGCATGTTGCAGACATTAAGAGTACAGTTATTTTCACCTAAAGGTTGAACCGTTTAGTATCAGTGAAGATAGTGAGTTCTTTTGATAACATTTCATGGTCATTCAGTCACTGTCAGGTGAATAATGTCAAGGTTTCGAGCTTCTAAGTTTTTTACAGAGAAATGCATATCTCATACCTTCCATCCCAGTTGTGAAATCCTCTGCCTCTGGATGATTTGGCCCCCACTTTAGGATGTTTAACCCACTTTTATTTGCAAGGCCAACATCGGTTGACCTGCTTTCTTTCCACTGGACTGTGGACGGTTTCTTTTTCTTTTTTTAAACTGGAAATATGAACTAATGGGGGCTTTGATGTGTGAGTGTGTGTGATTTTTTTTTTCCTATTACATATTAAGTGCGATTAAGAAAACCACAGCAAGCTGTTGCAGCATGTACAATGAAATATGAACAATGTAAAGCCATTATTGCTTCTTACATCTTTTCTAAATTGTATGCAATGTAAAGATTTTAATTATTTCGGTATAATTTAACCTGTTTTCCTTTAGTTTATAACAGCTTATAACAGTCAGGCATTCCAGCTCACTGTACCAGCAGTTGAAATTGAAATTTTGAGATAATAGCTTAAAATTTCTTTCTGACTGGCAATTTTATGTATTTATTTTTCAGAAT